AATAATATATCTTAATAGTTTAATGGTTAAATAAATTTCAATTGCTTGTTTGGTTAAAACGCCATTAATATCATGTTGGTATACACTTTGTGACATAATACTCGCTTTGTTTATTTTTCAAAAATAAAACAAAAAAAATCAGTATATAATTTTTTCATACGATTTACTTACAATGGATATGATGATTGGAATTGATGGTCCATTAATGCAATAGGATATTTATCCTCCTCATAATCAATATCCATAAAATCATCATCTTTGATATTTTTATTCATATCATCAATAATCTTACGAATCTCAGGTGGCACCACTTCTGAAACTTCTGGACTTAAACTTTTTAAAGGATTAAAAAATGTTGGTTCAAATTTAATTTCAGGAATTTTTGGCGATTGGTTTCTTCTATTCAGCGGTAAAAAAAATATAGGTTTTGAAATTGTTTCCACTTTGATTCGAGTTGGTTGTGTTGCCTGTGGTACTTGTTCAATATTGGTATGAGCATCGTAAAATTTAGGTTTATCCTTACGATGAATTTTTAATCTGGTATTATAATCTCTGGCGTGAAGCGCTGATTGATACATCCATGAAGTTTCGTTTGCAAGATTTCGTGGTTTTGTTATTTTACTATTAAATTTTTTTGATAGGATATTGTTTGCATTTTCAGTTTCTGAATCATTGCCTTTGTCACTTAAATCATCATCATATCTCAAATTTGATTCAAAATAATCGTCTTTTCTTCTTTTTCCATTCTGGATTATTCTTGAACCAAATAATCTGTATGTAGACCTAGCTGATACCAAAGTAATATTCCTACTACGATATGCAGCGGGCAAGATTCCTATTTTGATTAGGAACTCTCTTTCATCTTCAGTTGCAAAAACTCGTTGTAATGATGGATTTCTTAAGAAAAATAAATAACTATCACGAAAACCCAAAACTTTTGCCGCATCCATTGATAACATATACCATGTATTATCACTGGGCAATTGAAAAACCGGCACTTTAAAATTTCTGCCTATATAAAAATAGTAATTATGATAATTATAATCACTTTGCATTTTTAAAAAAGGTTTAGAGCTTAAATAACAAAATAATAAAATTATTTTACCTCCTAATAAACCTCCATCTTTGGTGATCTTTTTCTCTCCTTTTTCATCAAGTATTTCATCATAATTTAATTGATTTAAACCATTCATTCCATTAGTTGTTGTTGAACTTTCACCTTGAGCATATTCAAATCTTTTTGAATCATTGTTAATA